ACACACACACACACACACACACACACACACACACACACACGCTTGTAGCCATGGGATAGAACTTGGGAATAGGAGGCCCATGGAAGGGCTGGGCCAATGCAGGTAGAGGGATGGAAGGAATGCCCAGGCAGTACTCCAGTGGATGGAAGGGGCCCTGACCTGTGGCCTTGAACAGGTTCTGGAAGAAGCTCTGATTGTAGATTCTAGCCACACCACTGATCTCCGGCACCTGAGTTTCTGCCACTGTTCGTCCATTCACAAAGTTGGCTGTGATGCCAATGGCCAGTTTGCCTCTCATTTCTCTGATTGAGAAACCTGGGAATTGGTAGAGATATGGGAAGAGATGTGGACAAAGGAAAATGAATAGGAGTGACCCTGTTGTTTAGTCATATCCAACTCTTCATGACCCCATTTGGGGTTTTCTTGGCAAAGATACTGGAATGGTTTGCCATTTCTTTCTCCAGTTCATATTACAGATGAGGAAACTGAGGCAAACAAGATTAAGTCACTTGCCCAGGGTCACACAGCTAGTAAGTATCTGAAGCCAGATTTGAACTCAGGAAGAAGAGTCTTCCTGACTCCAGGGCTAGTACCACCTAACTACCTTATGGAGTAACCCTGTAAGGTCAGCAGGGGGGGTATGTGTGTGAAGCTCAGAATTAGGTGCTTGGGAACTTGGGAAGGGCTGGCCAAGAAGTACTTAGGGTAAGGGAGTTACTTACCTTCAGGGACGAATTTACTGCCAGCCGCAGAGATGAGAACATCAAATTCATACTGGGCCAGTTGGTCAGGGGGGCTGGGCTGCAGCTGTGCTCTCCAGCCAATCCCTGAGGAGGACAGGATGACAGGTGACAGAACAGAAGGGGGGAGTTAGAAACTGAGAACCAAGAAGGGAGAAGATAGGATTGAAGCCTCCCTCCTCTGAGACCAAAGCCAAGATATCCACTGAACGGGAGGGAAAGAGGACAGTTCAGAAAGGTACTTACCCTTGTGAGATGGGGGCAGGAGGCCTGTGAAGGTGACCCCCCAGTGAATCTCCACCCCTAGCAGTAATGCCACCTTCAGGAGGAGCAGCTGAAGCTGCCTAATACCTGGAGAACAGGAGGAAAGGGTTGGAGTATACAATAAATGCTTTTAAAATAGCAATCAATTGAATTGAGAGGGTTGGGGGATGAGGTGGGGCAGAAGCCCTCCCTCCTGCACAGCCCCTCTAGTACCCACCAAGGAGGAGCTACAGCTACCTCCAAACCTCAATCCAGTCACTAGGGACCCAGTGTTGTCCTCTGCCCTCCTTACTCACTGATGTGGTCCAGGGTGCCTGTGCAGAAGCGCCCATAGAACTTCTTGGCACCAAGCCCCCGCAGGTCATGGATAGTAAAAGGCCAGAGATGGAGAACATTGTGGCGGGAGAACTTGGTGCGCTTTTCCACGAGCACCACTCGGGCACCCAGCAGGGCCAGCTCTACAGCTGTTCGAAGTCCACAGGGCCCTGCTCCTACGACCAGGCACTGCCGGAAAGGGGGGAAGGGAAGGAGGGGAGCAGTGTGAGAGCGCATTCTGACTCTGCTCCCTGACCCCAAATCTCTCCTCCCCCAACCTGGTAGCTCTCCCAGCTTCCATGTCTTGATCCAGGCACCCCCATCCTATCCCCACCTGCCCACCTGGGTATTGGCACAGGCCTTCCCCTGCTCATAAATGGAATGGGAGGCCCGCTTATCCAGCTTGGCCCATAGGCTCTTGGCATTCCAGTAGTTGAGCTCAGCCTTGAGCTTGTGATACAAGGACAGCCTCCCTCCAGGCTCCAGGCCCAGACACATGCAGAGGTCTTGGAAACTGCTGAGCACATCCTTGCACAGCTGTGCCTGCAGAAAGGTCTCAAAGAGTCCATGGGCAGGATTCTGGGAAGCAGCGGCTGCCATGGGGGCAGCCAACAGGGGCCCTAGGGGAAGGGGGAACAACTGGTGAGAGAGAGAGACAGACATACACACACACAAAAGAGCTTCTGGAGGAGGGGAGAAACCAAATGGGAGGAGAGGGGACAGAGGAGTGATCCCAGCCCTGATTGGCCCCATGGAGCCAGTCAATATCATCAGTTCCTTTTCCCCTCCTCTCACAACTTTCCAGATCTCTCGAAACAGAGTTCAGCTTCCTGTGATTCTAAGTGGGATGCCAAATTTGGAAATGAAAAATCAGCAGTCCTGGGCACAGTGGGCACTACTCATCCCTAGGCTCAAAAGAGACTGCTTGTTTTTCACACCCACTCCCCAACTAAGGTCTCAAGATCAGGACTCCATCTCAAGGATGCCCACGGACCTGACAAATACAATCAATCCTAATCATGTGTGTGGATTCTAAGGGGTAAGAGCTCTCAGTTCTTCTCTATAAGGGGACTTGGGAAAATTGGTTTACATTTCCAAGGATAGTAAAAAGATCTAGAGCAGAGGAAACAGGCATAAGAGGGATAAAGGACAAGGAGTGGGAAGCAAAATTCCCAGGCATTACGACTTTACAAGTATGCATATTTATCCCACCTCCAGAGCACTCAGACATCACAGCATCACACATACCCCAGCACTATGCTGGGCAATAGATCATAGTAACTTAGGGGAAGAAGTTAGGTCCAAATTGCCTCTGTAATAGGTACTTCCCTACATCAGGCTCCACCTACAACCCCCAAAACCACCTCAAGAATCTAGCAGCCCAGAGGAAGTGGAGAGACAGAAAGAGTTCCTGACTAAGTATCTATCCGCCTGCCTGGGTCTGTTTTCTGACATACTGTGGTCATGATACTTCCCTCCTGTTAACTTGAGGCTCTTCTGAGGGCCCCTGGAGAAGGGCAAGGATGTAAGTCTTTTGCCTTTTCTTACCAATCTCCCTCTCCTCTGCCCTAGCACTCCACTGAACCCCCACCTCTGGAATCTCCCCAGCACAAGACATCCCTTTATTTCTCCACATCACTAGGGGTAGCTTGGGAAGGAGAAAGCTTCAAGGCTGGGAAGATTCGTTGGGCCAAGGTTGGAGACAGAGGATACAAACAGAACTGGGCTGAGACCTCAATTCTTTCCTGGCTGTACCACCATCAGACTCTTTGGGCATCAATTTCCTTATTTGTAAGGAGTTTGGACTGAGGAATTTGGACTAAATAATCTCTTAGGTCCCTTCAAGCTCTGGCAGTCACTGATCCTATCTAGGGGGCATCAAGCCCCTTCCAGTAGTTGAGAGGATTGACTTGGAGAAGGAAGTTCATGTGAAGGAACCCTCTGAGATCTACTCCTCTCTATCTTGGGAACTGTGTAGGCAATAGCAACCCCAGCAGCAAGAAGATGGAGGTAAAGTACTCCTGCCTCCAGACACCTGGCTCACAGCTGTCACTAGGAAGGTCAAAGATTGCTTGCTGTCAGGGTGGAGAAAAAGGAGGGTGAAGGAGAGACAAAGGTAGGCAGAGAACAATATAAAAGCACCGAGAGCCCTCCAAAGTGGCCATACATGGGTGGACTCGGCGTGGGGGTGGGGGGACGACTAAACTCAGAGAGAGTAAGTCAGACAAAGTCCTAACAGAGATGGGGACACAGTGGAAGTGACCCCCTTCAACTCTCTGGGAGAAAGGACCTCCGGCTCTGTGTCCTCCTAGAGCCCAAAGAACCTCCCTTCCACTGGGGTCACAGCTTTCAGAGGGAGAGGGTACGTTTATGCATACACACATAGCCTGGCTCCGGGGGGTTCGGTGACTCAAAGACATCTCCAGAGGTACAGTTGTCTAGTGGGTGCAACTAGCTCTGCTGCTCGGCACGTACCAGGAGCCGCCTAGCCCTCCTCCCTCACCGGGGGGCCCTTGGTCCCTCTCACAGATGAGATGCAGAGGGACAGGGACAGGGACAGGGACGGGGGGGGGCGGCGAGGGGAGGAGAGGCTCACGTCTGGCACCACTGGTGCACTTACCCGAGCAGAAGCACCCTGGAGCCGGGATGGAGGGGCGCAGGCAGGCTGGGGAGGGGCCAGACGAAGGAACCTCTTCCTGGTGGAGCCGGAGCAGCAGAGTTGGGGCGGGGTTGGGGGGGGTGGGGCCCAGAGGGAAGGGAAAGGCGGAGGAGGCAAGGAGGAAAAGGCTAAGGGAAGCCCCTGCGATGCCTGAGCACCCTTCAACCAGGCAGAATTGAGTGTGGGGCCGGGGACTCTCGTCTGGATCCTAGCCCAGGGAGTGGCCACCCCAAGAAGCAATTGCCTTTATTATCACTACATTAAGCATCTCATGACTTAAAAGGGCCGAGGCAGGCCAATCTCAAGGTCCGCCCCCACTCCACGCGAGCTGACTGCCTGGGCTGGGTGGGGTGGATGAGGACACAGGCTAACTTGGATTCCCCCTGAAGCGGGGAAAGGCAGAGGCTGGCTTTGAGCTCGGGATCCCTGGAGGGTGGGGTGGGAATTGGTATTTATTTGGTCCGGAGAGGAAATAGCTCACACTTACTTCAAGCTTTAGAAACTTTTCCACGCCACAAATCCCGTGATGTAGGAAGGGCAAATATTAGTCTGTTGCTTCTGATGATTGAAGGACATTGAGGAAAAAGGAGTGGAGGGGAACCACAGGGCCCAGCTTTTCCTCCTTCCCCACCCCACCCTCAAAGGTTCCATTCAGCTGGATAGAGATTATTGCCAACTCATATTTTTCTTTCCTTAAAACAGCCATGTAACTCCAAGTATTACACCCATTTTTGAAGATGAGGAGACCAATTTTCCATTACTTGCTTGTCCATGGTCACACAGCTAAGAATCCTCTGAAACGTTATTTGAACCTTTTCCACACTAAAGATACCAAAAAAGCCCCCAAAACAAAAGGAAAACAAACAAACAAAAAACAAACTAGGTGTCCCAAAAGTCTCATTGTGGTTTTAAGCTTTAATAAACTTAATTTCAATCCTAGCTCTTAATCTTAGTATGAACTGAGGAAGTATCAAACTGAGTCCCCAGTTCCACCACCTCTAAGATGGGGTGATAATGTTTACATGATCTACCTGGTAGGAAAAAGAAAAGCAAAATGCGAATTATTACAACTACTCTCTCCAAATCATTATGATGGTCTTTCCTATCAGGATATTTGGGCAACTTTTCATCCCCTAGCCCAGGCTGTGTGTGGCCTCCTCATGGTCTCTTCTGCCCATAAAGGTGGACTGAGCCAACAAGGGCAATCATCCCCCGAAGCCTTGGGCCCAGTTGTTCCCTAGTCTGGTCTGCTGTCAGATAATTAATGAATAAGCATCTCTTCACTGCTCCGTGGAAGGTGGGCTTTAAGAGAACACCCACCCCAGGGGGATAACAGAACAAAGACTCCAAATTGGAGTTTGAAGATGGAGTCCCAGCTTTGCCATAAGACTTTGGGTAAGTTAACAACCTGAATTTCAGTTTCCTTGTTTGTAAAATTAGAACACTACTGAGTGTATCATGAAAATAGATAACGACTGTGAAGTGCTTTGTAAACCTTAAAGTGATCTACCAATGACACCTATCTTTACAAATAGGGTGGATGTCACAGAGTAAACAGCTTTGGATGTCAGGTGAAGTTTAGTTCTAGTCTTGGAATGTTACGGCTGAGAAAATAATTGATCTAGTCCTGTCTTCCTATTTTATAGATGGGAAGACTGAGCCCTAGAAAGGTTGAATGTCTTGTTTAAGGTGTAAGGCAGGGCTAGAACTGGAATTTAGGTCTCTTGACTGTACAGTCCAACGCACTTTCCATTCTGACAATAGGGGCCATAAAATCTCTTGCATCTTTATCTAAAAGCGTGGACACTGTCATATGATAAATATGAATATCACAAGGCCAGTGGGCCATGACTCACACTTGCAGAGCCAGGACTTCGTGGGAGTTACTTGCTTTGTGGATCTCACAAAGCACACACTCTTTGCTCTGCCAAGTGAAGGCAGCTTTGCTTAATTTAGTGTTGAAGGGAAGGGAGCAGGGGAGGGGGAGAAGAAGGAGGGTAGGAGAGGAGGGAGTGGAAAAGCCCCATTACCAGTCTGAAGGGTGTTAAAGGAAGAGTTAAGCAGGGGCCCAAGTGAGGAAAAACAAGATAGCCCTCTTGGCTCCATCTTAAAGGCTAAGTTAGTTCTTTATAGTTTCATGACTTAGTTTGAAATGAATTCCCAGAGCATTAGGCACACCCATATAAATTCGGTTTTAAAAACAAAGTCCAAAGTCCCATCTTAATGGCTTATTGGCCATTTTGTGTTATCTATCTCATCTCTCTTTCAGAATTGATTATTCAGTGGTAGCAGGTAAGTGAATAACACAAGAGTTTTGGGCTCATAACTCAGTTTGACCATGTGCAAGGTGTTCCCATGTTTGCTGCCCAATGTGTCTTGTGGACCAGTAAAACCAAAATAAAACCAAACCAAACCAAGTTGTCTTCCATTTGGCATTTAAAGCCGTTGAGGGTCTGACTCCAACCCATCTTTCTAGGTTGATTGCATGCTACTTCCCCTCACACACTTAATGCTTCACCAACCAAACCAAACCACTGGCTGTTTCCTGTCCATGACATTCCATCTCCCTACTCCTACTCAGCTGCCTTTGCACAGGCTGTCCCACCAGGCCTGGAATGTTCTCTCTCTTGGAGTCAGAGGCTTAAGCTTCCTTTGAGGTTCAGCTCCAATACTACATGTCCACAGTCGTGAGTGACTCCACACATCACCTGGTATTTATTTTTATATATTAATTTGTGAACACGTTGAAAGCTTCCTAGGAGCTCCTGGAGGCCCAGGGGCTTGTGTTGATTTTGTCTTTCTCTCTGTAGTGCCTGGCACACAGGAGATGAGTTAATAAATGCTTGTTGAATAAATGCTGATAGAATAAATTGAGGCAGCCAGGTGTGAGGGAGGGGAGGGAATATTTTTATAGCACCTACTATATGCCAGGCACTGTGCTAAGTTCTTTGAAAAAATTATCTCATTTGATCCTCATAACAATCTTGCATGGTAGGTGCTATTATTATCCCCATTTTACAGATGAGGAAACATTCAGACAGAGGTTGTGACTTGCCCAGGGCCACACAGCTAGTGAGTGTATGAGGCCAAATTTGAACTCAGGTCTTCCTGACTCCAGGCCCAGTGCTCTATCCACTGTGCCACTAGCTGCCAAGCTGTGCCAGATGTCACAGTGGATACAGTGTTGGAGTGGGGTGAGTCAGCATAAATGCTAGTAATTGTTCTACTTAACCCAATTTGTACAAGATCTCTAAAGTAGTTAACTTAACAAATGTATATAACTGGCATCCACACAGCAAAGTGCAAAGTTTGCAAAGTGCTTTCAGTTCAGAGATTTAAAGCTGGATGAAATCTCAGAGATTATCTAATCCAATCCCTCATTTTATACATGAGGATAAAAATTAAGTCTCTCTCAGTTATACAAAAAGAAATTATTCTCCATTCAAGATTGAG